CTCAATTGAGATCTTTGATTTTTATTTTCTTTCAATTACATCCCTAATTAGATGATATTTAGTCCTTACTTCCCATGTCTTTTTCAATTGTACCTCCGAATCAACTTTTCAATTATTCTCTTTTTCTTTTCTTCTCTCTCTCTCTCTTTTTTTTTTTTTTTTGTATTTTCTTTAAACTCATAAATTATAAGACTCCAAAAAATCTTAACAAAACAGTAAAAATTTATAAAATCAAGCGAACTAAGAAAATATTTAATTTTGACATCTTTTCTCTCTTTTTTATTATTTTTATTTTTAGGAAAAATTGTAAAAACAAAAAGCGTAAAAAATTGAGTGGTAATAAGCACATTTTGTTATGATTAAAGAGTTGGTTGGATTAAGCACACATGATTGTCATGTATCTACCAAATGCATACAATTGAACTAATTATGAGTCCATTTTGTTCCATTTCTTCTTTTTGATTTTTGATTTTGAGAAAACAAAAAGCCATTTTTCTTGTTCATTGTTTATAGTTTCAAAAACTATTTATTTTTTAAATAAAGATGTATAAAGAAAAAAATCATAGAGAATTTAATTTAAGAAAGAATATATTGTTAGTTAAAATATAAAAACTAATAATATTATATATTTAATTATGGGTGGTAAAATAATGGCATTGTGATAATAGCGTGGTAGGTGTGATGACAATGATGATGACATAATAATGATTGATATGATGCTAATAATGATGATAATTGTTAAAGTAAAACCAAATTGATATAAATTAGTATTTTATTAATAAATAGTAATACTTGTAGTGGATAATAATGATAAAATAGAGGTTATTATAATAGGATGACAATAATAAAGATATTCATTATATGATTGTGAAAGATATAGAGGTAATTATGATTTTGATAATGATAATGATAAAAAGTGATGGTGAATAATTTACAATGAAAATGATGGTTGTGGTCTTATGGTATAGTGGTAAAGTACTAATGACGGTGGTCATGATGATAATAATGAGGATTATACTTGGTAAGGTGGTGGTAATGTAACATTACGGTAGTAGTAATGTTGATAATACAATATCATGCATATAAAAATCAAAAATAAAAAACTACATATTGTTGTTTTTTTTCAAAAAAAAAAAAACTATTTTAGTTTTAAAAGTTGTTTATAAAAAAATAAACATAATAGTTCAATAAACATATTTTGTTTTTAGGGGAAAAAAAACAAGATATGTTTATGATATCAAACACTTTTTTAATTTTTTCCTTACATTTGTCTTACATTTTAACACACTTGGAGAAGAGTAGTTGAGTTCTTGAAAAATAAAATGATAGTTTATATGCAATAATTCACAACCATAATTTATATTAATTTGGATGACACGTTATGATAAAATGATATATTAAATAATTAAAATAATTATAGTTTTTTAAAAAATTATTACATAACATAACGAGTTGTTAGGTTTCGAAACATTCCATTATCATTATTCAACATTATAGGTGCCTCGACATCGTTTCACGAGTATAACGACAAATAACGGCGTTGGCTTTATATAACGTTGTTATTTGCCATTATATAACAACGTTATAAAAAAAAAAAACCTAGAAATCAACCATTTTAGATTTAAAGTTTTAAAGTTTATTTTATTAAAGAATAAGAATCAAATACTAGAGTTGCGAGCTTGATTGAATAAATATTAAATTAGTCATTTTATTTTGGCAAAATAAATTAGTTAGTCCTTTTTATTTCGAAACCAATTATTTAGTTATTTTTGTTCATTTTATGTTATTTTCTAATTTATTTATTTTTGAAAAAATAAAAAATAAATCTATATCATGAAAAGTTTGATGAAAAAAACTTTTTGTGAAATAAAATATATTATATTAAACATGATCAAAAGATTAGATAATTAGTTTTTTAAAAAACATTAAGGACTAATTAATTCATTTATCAAAACTTGAGATACTAATGTATAGTTTACTTCGGGTTGTTTGTCCTGTATGCAAGGGTAACAAATTTAAAATTGAGTAAATTATAAATTATTCCCCGTAGTTTGGAAAAATAAAGTAGTTGGTCCTTTTTATTTCAAAACCCAATTATTTAGTCATATTTTTTTTAATTTTATGATATTTTCTAATTTATTTTCCTTTTTGTTCTAAAAAATAGGAAAAAAAATTTACATCATGGTAAGAATGGTGGAAAAATTTGTGAAATAAAATATCTTACATTAAACATAGTCAACACTTGAATAGGTTTATGAAAATTAGAATATGTCATTACTTATTAATATGCTTAATTAGTAAAACTGTTAAAAATATATGAATTAGAATAAATCTACGACATCGATTACCGCAATCGTTATTTTACTACCACGATCATTATTTTACTACCGCGATAAGTCGAGAATTGCAATTGCCATTGCGACCACTTCTTCAACCACGATTGCTTATTTAAAACTATGAACATAAGAATGTATGGAAACAACTTATAATATATAAGGATAAAATGAGCAATATATCCTATTTTTTCATCTAAATTGCATATGTTATGCATAAAAGCCACACCTTCTTGATCGATACCAAAATATTTTAAACAAAAAAAATTCAATTGAAGAATGCATAATATTATATTGGAGAGCCAATTAAGAAAGATTTAGTTTGAAGATTACATTGAGAATCGAAATTTAAGTTTGACCGAGATAAATAAAACTCTTTTAATTACTACAAAACAAAAGAGTGAAATATAATTTAATCCCTCTTGTTTAGAGAAACGAATTATTTAGCCTTTCTTATTTTAAAAACTAATCCTTTAGTCCCCTATGCTTGAAATTATTAACGAATTTGTCAAATTTATATCTAATACCTAAAACACCCCTTAAACATATAAACCCATCGTAAAAATGAGACAAAACTCACTCATTTTCAAGAGTAATTGCTAAGATATGGAAGAATACATTTTCTAGACATAATGAGTGCTACAAAATTGAGTGAACAATCACAAATGAGCCACGAAGATACTCCATATTGAGAGTAATTGCTACATGGACCAATAAAGGATCATAGACACTTGTTTTGCTTCGATTTAGTGATAAAAAAACTCACATTCATCATCATTGTGGAAGATAGTCAAATTTTGAAAGGATAATTAGGGGAGGGAATCGGGAGGAAAGAGAAGAAGGGAGAAACAAAGGTTGTTTTTGAGATTGGAGGAGCGAATAGCTTCGGTAGAGGGAAGGATTGGAGAGGAGAGTATATAATCATGATAAATACGACGGTGAAGAACCCTAAAAATTATAAAATCCAAAGCATCTTTGCATCATAAATACCTCTCCTTTTTCTTTTTTTCTTTTCTTTTTATATTTAAAATCAAATTGATCTATCACTATTGAGATAAGGGACGATCACAAACACTTGTTTTGCTTTTGATTTAGTGATAAAAAAAGCCATATTCATCATCATTATGGAAGATAGTCAACTTTCGAAAGGATATTTAAGGGAGGGAATCGGGAGGAGAGAGAAGGGAGAAATAAAGGTTGTTTTCGAGATTGAAGGAGTGAATGGCTTTAGATAGAGGGAAGGATTGGAGAGGAGTATAATCATGAAAAATGTGGTAGTGAAAAAGCCTAAAAATTTTAAAATCCAAAGCATCTTTGCATCGTAAATCCCTCTCCTTTTCTTCTTCTTTGATTTGAAATCAAATCGATTTGCCGCTATTGAGATAAGGGACGATCAAAGGAATGCTAAGGTTCCTTTGAGGTCCATCGGACTTGTTATAGATTTTGCGAGTAGATGATGGGTTAAATGAAAGGAAAGTTTTGATTCGATCTCTTTATTTTTTCCTTTTCAGAGTAGAATTGCTATGCGACTAGAGGAATCTATGAAACGAACTAGGATGCACAGTTAGGCCTCTAGTGTTAGTGTGTGCCACCGTGCACTCTACTCCTCCTTCCCCTTTTTCACTTGCACCCTATCCAACAATAAAAAGGAAAAGATGAGAGAAGCGGAATATAGAGAAAAGTAGAGAAGAGAAAGATGAGCTTTCTTTGGTTTGGTTTGCTTTTCCTCTTTTTTTATTTTTTTCTCAACTTAGCTTTGTTTTGCTTTGCGTTTTCCACCATATAATTGAAATGTCAAACGAAGCATAATTATTTAATCTCTTACGTAGCTATTACTCTAAAAAATGAAACAAAATTAAGGAAGAAAAGCAAAAAAATAAAAAAGAAAGTGAATATACAATTTTAAGATTAGTCATTAGCTTTATATGTAACTAGAATAGTTATTTGAAAATAAAACATATTCGGGTGAGGACATCTAATCACTTTACTAACAATCAACAAACGGAATAACAAAATTATTAATGGAATTTAAAAGTAGAGGACTAAATAATATGTTTCTCTAAATGAGAAGGACTAAATTATATTTTACTCAAAACAAAGGACAAGAGTTCCCATTCACCACAAAAAAAAAAAAAAAAAAAAAAAGCACCCCTGCCTAGACTCATAGATTATTCCAATTATTGTCCCCCACAAAAAAAATTTAATGTCCAAAACAAGGCAATAAAATGCAACTCAATCTGGAAGGCCATAAATGCAGGCAGTCCTGATCAGGAACATGGAAAGTTGAGTAAATGTAGAAAAAGAGTTCGAAAGTTGACTCTTGACGCTTATCTTTGTTCCTGCCTGCCGAGGACCGTATCTCCTCTCTGCAACGAACACCTCCAGGAAAAAAAGAAAAAAATGAAAAAAATTACACCGCTAACCTAAAGCCGCCGAATCCAGTTTTGTCTCGACACTTCACCCCCTTTCCACCCTCTCCCTAATCTACTATTTGTCCATTTTTCTTTCTCTAGCTGAAAATATATACAAAAAATAAGAATAAACTTTCCAATTTCCTTCCCGAAATTTCATGCACGCTACTTTCTATCCATAAATTTCTCGCATTGATATATCAAACTTTCATTTAATTTTCACCTCCTGCACTGCAATTGAGTGTATCAAACAATGATGGCGGCCTATGAGTCACCGGAGAATCATATAGCGGCAACAGCAGCGACAACATCATCAGCATCTACGTCAGATCTTAATTTCCCCATTCGACGGAGGTCTACTACTGTCACGGATTCTGCTTCGACGGAGGATTTGAAAAGTAATGGTAAAGAGTGCGATAAGGTTAAGAATGAGAATCGATCGGATATAAAATTCATTTACCGGCCATCGATGCCCGCTCATCGTGGTGTTAAAGAGAGTCCTCTTAGTTCTGATGCTATTTTTAAACAAGTACGGATTGTTTTTCTTTCCTTTCTTTTCTTTATAAATTTATGGAGGGGTTGATTCTAATTCTTTTTCCTCTTTTTTTTTTTCCTGTTTTTACTACAATTTTGTGGCAGAGTCATGCAGGTCTCTTCAATCTCTGTATAGTAGTGCTTGTGGCTGTAAACAGCAGGCTTATCATTGAAAATTTGATCAAGGTTAGTGCCTTTTTTTTTTTTTTTTTTTTCTCTCTGTAAAATTTACGTGGGAGAGGTGATACTATTCATGTGTCAAATTTTCTTTAAGGCATGCTCTTTTAAAATTTATAATAATATAATGTTAAGATCTATATATATATTTTTTTTCCTGCAGTATGGCTGGTTAATTAATCGTGGATTTTGGTTCTCTTCAAAATCATTAAGAGACTGGCCCCTCTTTATGTGCTGGTAATTTTTCTTCAAGACTTCTTTTTTTGGTTTCAAATCCGAATTATTATTACTTTTATTCTTACATGAAATTTGTTCTGGATTATTACTTTTATTACAGTCTTAGCCTTCCAGCATTCCCTCTCGCTGCCTATCTCGTTGAGAAGTTTGCATATCGAAATTATATATCTGAACTTGTAAGGGCTAAAATTCTGATTATTTTGTATGTTGCCATTAATAGAGCCAGCTTATCATGATTACTCATATAAATAACTCAACAATTCATTGTGGAGCCTGATTTAGTTTGAAACTAACTTTAAGTTTGAATTTGCAGGTTGTTTTTTTCCTTCATATAATCATCACCACAGCATCAATTTTATATCCAGTTTCAGTAATTCTCAGGTTTATTTTATTTGCTTTTCCATATTCTTTTTTGTTAACTACTGCAAAGTTTAGTGTATGTTGCCAAATGATTAAGAATTTTGCTAAGGTTTTGTAAGGATTGAAAATATAATACTTTTTACTCCATTAGAAAATTGCATGCCTCTTAAAATCAGATATGCTAAAAAAGTAGAATTTGCGTTTAGGATGATTTCTAGAATCTTGAGGTTGCATGAGAGGCAGCATTGTCAGGTTGCATGATAAACTTCAATGCAATCCTAATCTTTGTTATGGTGTAGCTAGTTTTGATAGGATTTGGTGGTGATATCAAAGACTAATGTGAAAGCAAACACTATTATGGGAAATGCATTGAGAGAATTGAAAGATATTGATAACTACGCGCTTATGACTTGTAGTTTGTACAAATTATTGTCCTACATTGTGAAAAAATTGATTTGAAAAATAGTACTATACAACTGATAACATTAAAATGGTCAAGTTTCTTTTAGATAAGAGAAAAAATTGCATTTTAAATGGCACAAGCACAAGGCTGTCCTGTCTAATTTTAGGTGTTGAGTTTACTTTTGGTTGTTCAAGTCATCTTCTTAGCAATTGATTTGTCTGTAGATTTTTTAGTTCTCTGATTAATGATACAAGGGGTCGGTGGTTGATAAATTTGTAGTGAGTTTGTGGTGCACAGATTTGAGTTAACAAGATTCTTGTCATAGTCCCGCCAGGCTTTGTTTCTTTAGTTTTTCAATGTTGCCAACAATGCATGTATCATTATTTCACTCTTTGATGCAGGACAGCTTTGAGGGCTGTTCTGGATCTGACTTTGGAGGCTGTTGAGGGTTATATTGAAGTGGTTTTCTGTTGAGACTGTAGAAACTATTAGAGACACTAATAGGGTTTCTAGGAGTCACACCTAGAGGATAAAAAACCTAAGCTTCACATCTAGGGTTCTTAGGTATCAAACCTATGGGAGATTGAGTTAAACGATCAAAAGCAAATTGCTGGAATTTTATTCATAAACTTCTATTTGAAAATATTGAAAGAATGCATGCTTATTTATAGAGTTTTAGTAGTCCAAATCCAATAAGGACATGGTTTCCTAAATAAGAAAATACTAAGTCTATGTAGAATAGGAAATACCTAATAAACTAATTACTCATTAGGACCAATAAAATACTAAATAGAAAATAAAACCTGGACTTGGACACAGAATTTCCAGAAATAACCTTGTCTACAACAAGACACAAATTTTGCCTCCTTTGTTGTCCGCATTACTCTTGTTGATGAAATTATTAACTCAGTCATTTACCATCCAGCGTGGCACATAGTTTAACTTTTTCCATGACATCAAAACAAATGTAGGCTCCTGCCTTTCATATAGATTAAAGATATAGATTAGTTGAAAGTTTTCACGAGTCTCACCTAATACTTGTTTTATATGTATTAAAGGTGGGGAGACATTATTTCTTGAATTCTTACATTGTCCAGGGACCTGGAATGTATAGTTTTTACGTTCTTAAGTCCCTCTCTGAAAAAAATTATCTAATGATAAAAATGTATAGTTTTAATGCAAAAAACTTTCAAAGGGTTAGCCACAGACTCTTACCTCTTATAGAGTCTTTTGATTCACTGCTTCTACAAACCACGATCTCTCCCAAGTATTAAGCTATCTAGCTGCTAAATTAGCCATATCCAAATGGAAAAGATAGTTTGATACACCATTGCTGCAAGCTTTTGCTCATTTAACATGAATCTCCCAAATTTCCATGCTTTCCAGAATTACATCGCCTTCATCTACATTGAAACAATGAAACAATGGCTCAAGAGAGCATGTTTATTTTAAGCAAACTCCAAAGGTTTATGGAACTGGATCTGAATGGTTCTTCCCTATCCCATTTATCATGCCAAACAAATTAGGATCCCTTCTTCCCAACTCAAAAAACTGACTTAACCTTTTTAAGAGACATCCAAAGACTAGGATCAGAAATGTTTCTCTCTAGAAATTTACCCTAAATCCACTTCATGAATATATTCAGTGATCATTCTTCACATGGAATCAGTTTCCACCACGAACCTCCAAAGCCACTTTTCGGGTCATTTAAGTGGTCTGTATCTTTTATGGATGTAATCTTTGAGTTTTGACAAAGCAAAGGATTGTAATCCTTTGGGGATGTGTTATGTTTGGGCTGATGATTGTGCAGGGGTTTTCTTGGACGTCTTATAAATCACTCTTCTGGGACATGCATAGCAGTGCCTTTATCCAATGTTCAAAGGGACAAGAGAACCCTTTTAGTTTGGATATAGTTATGGTCATTTATTTTCAAATTGGGATGCTTATTTTCCTTTGTAATCATATATTGGTAAAAAAAAAAAAAAAAGCAGTTTAAATCTTGTAAGCATGTTTTGTTAACTGAAGTTACCGACAATTGTATGAATTTTCTCATCTCCCACCCTTCAAGCATCAGAATTTGTGCATGTTCGTAAATTTTGCAGTTCCATTTTGTTGAGTCGTCTCTCTCTCACTCTCTCTGTCTCTCTAACTCAAACTTTAGAATGTCAGAATCATTATTGGGGTGATTTATTGTCCAGGCATAACACAATGAGTTCTTTGAAGCTGATTTTTCTCTCACTTTCAGACTGGAATTGATAAGCCAAATTTCTTAATATCTTGTTAGATGTTGTAGGGCTTTATCATGCTTAGTCATTGGATGTTAATGTAGACACTTATGTATTCATTGCCTAATTTGTGCAGGTGTGATTCTGCTTTTCTATCTGGTGTCACATTGATGCTCTTTGCTTGCATTGTGTGGTTGAAATTGGTATCTTATGCTCATACAAACTCTGATATGAGAGCAATTGCCAAGTCAATTGATAAGGTAAGTATACCTGAGAAAGCTCAGCAGGTTTCTTTACCAGAATTTTCATGTGAAAGCTATCGCATTGCATAAGATTGTAAATTGAAAAATTGAGAAAATGTGTACTAGATTCATCTAGCAGATGTGTTCTCTTCACTATTTATCTCTTGTTTTATCTTCCCATTATCATTGCACCTTCAATGTTGCTCTCTTTATCTAAGTAAATGAATTCTTGTTTGATTTCAGGAAGATGCCCAATCCGTTTCTCCATATGCAGATAATCCTCCTGATGCTAACTTTAAGAGTTTGATCTACTTCATGGTGGCTCCCACATTATGTTACCAGGTGATCGGTCATGTTTCTTTTACATATATCGTCTACTGTTAGCATTTCAGCTTTTGATCAGCTTTTATTTGCTCATCTTTTATTGCCTCATGATATTTGATTAATTGGACTATTCTGAGAATACATTGCCATGAAAATACTTTTTATTTTTTTGGTTGCAAGAGAATAAAAGAAATAGATCCTTGAATTTTGCTCTTTTCTAACTGACCAAAATTACAAACATTTTTCCCTCAAAATCCTACAGTCCCTTCTTCTGCTCAGACCTGCTAAGCATATTTACTAGGGTCTTGCTTGGGACCATGCAGGACTGGCCACAATTACCCATAGCCTGTGCTACATATAAATGCTATCTCTCAGTGTGTAAAGAAATGACTACTTCTCACTCTACTGCCATGACGCATAGTACAAATTATACACTTATATTAGGGGACATGGATTTGTTCTGAGTAAATAGAATCTAACATTTATATGGGCATTAATTTCTCAAGACTAGTATTAATGCAGGGGCCTCTCTTCTGTTATGCTGTTTTGTGCCCGACATTATAAATAGCCCTTGCATTGTGCTTGTGTGGCTATAGCTTGTAGATAGGACATCTGTCCCTAGTGTGTGGCTGGTGTATCTTGCTTGTTATTGGATTCTCTAATCTTCACCTTCATGCATGTCATTGTAGTTAACCTATCCTCGCTCTGAATCTGTTCGAAAGGGTTGGGTGGTTCGACAATTTTTCAAGTTAATAATATTTACTGGATTCATTGGATTTATCATAGAACAAGTAAGTAGAACTTCACATTTAAACCACTTTTGTCTTTTCCTATTCTTTTTTGAGATAACGGTATGCATTCCTGACATATTTGGTGGGCATAATTCTGCAGTATATCAATCCTATTGTTCAGAATTCGCAACACCCTTTGAAAGGAAATCTCTTGTATGCCATTGAGAGGGTCTTGAAACTCTCGGTTCCTAATTTATATGTGTGGCTTTGCATGTTCTACTGCTTTTTTCACCTGTGGTGAGTGCCTTTTTTTATTTTCCATTTTTATAGATATTTTCCTCTTTGTTAAAAAAAATTCTAAAAATTGCCAAAAATGTTATCTAATTTTTCCATTAATACCATGAAGCTAGTTATAGCTGTAATTAGTTTACCTCAATGGTGCCAAGTGCAAATTGCCTTATTGTGGCAAATTGTTTAGATCAATAGTGTTATATGTGTAGCTTCATTTAGTCCTCTGGAATGTAGTTGTAGTGGAGCTATGAGAATCATCCATTGGACAGTTTTACTTCAGCAACGCTTAACTGCATTCCCTTCAAAATGTTTTTCTTATAAATTCTCCTCCTAACAAGTAACGACTTACATTTCAAATCGTGTGCAGATTCCTTTGTAATGGGAACAATTTTTAAAAAGCTTTCTTATTGGTTTTTGTTTAGTGCATAATTTTATTCACCTAGCATGATTCCTGCAGTTTGGCATATTTCAAGAAATTTATACTAGGTTTCTTCCTTTGCATAAAGGGGGAATTGCAGGAGTAGGTTCATCTCTTTGGTTTGAGTTAGATACTGTTTTGCAAATGTAGGTTAAATATACTTGCTGAGCTCCTTCGCTTTGGTGATCGGGAGTTCTACAAGGATTGGTGGAATGCAAGAACCGTTCAAGAGGTAAGGTCTCCTATTTTGTAATTTAATTTAATTTTTATTTTTTTATATCTATTAAAAAAACCTTTGCTTATTTTCTTTACATTGGCATATGTTTTTCTGGATTTGTGGCTTTCATCAGTATTGGAGAATGTGGAATATGGTATGTTTCTATACCTGATTCTTTATTTTATCTAAGATTCTGAGGCCCGTTTGCTTCCTGGTAAATGGATTCTTTTGGAAAACGAATTCCGTGGAAAAAAATTCTAGGAAAATGAATTATTTTCCGATGCCTGGCTCTACCATGGAAAATGAGGTTGAAAATATTGTCCAATGCTTATTGTGTGCACAGAAAATGAATTTTTTTCTATGTTATCCATTTTCCATAATAAACTTCTGTGTATAATTATTGCATGATATGACATGTTGTGTAATATATTGTGTATTCTAACAAATTAGTTTATCTTAAAAAGTATTTTCTTATCTATATCTTATATGTACAGATGTATTATATATGGATTTGTTAACCTATCCACTCTCTGGGCTGATTAGCATGGTACCTATTTTTTGGCCTTATTTTAGGCTTTTATTAATCACCTCTAACATGGATAATATTGCCATTTCAGTAATCATGACTCTAATTATCAAACCTTGGTGCCCAGTTTTTATTCTCTTTCCCTCTCCATTTTGCCATCATCTTTTTTCCCCCTTTATAGTCTGAATAAAGCATGAGTAATAACACTCTATCATCACTTCAAGTTTTGCAACAGCAATTGCAATTAGAAGTGAGCCCAGATGCTAAATCTTCATTGCTTTGGTTCACCTTTTCAGTTGGTTAATCGCTCTTGTCCTTTCTCTTTATTCCTCAACAACAACGGCTATCTCATACTCTCACTTTGCAATCATTAATTCTTAGAAATAGATGTGATATTAAAACCTTCCTCATTGCCTTTGAATTGGTATTAGAGAATGATGTTAAAGGAAAATAACAAATCAAGGAGAAAGAAAGATGATAGAGAAAGAGAAAGAATGGTGGTTTATTTGTTGTTGATAAATGCGGGGAAATAATGAGAGAGAGAATGAAGGAGATAATAAAGTGGATCACCACAAAAAAAATAAAAAAATAAATAAAAAATAAAATAAAATAAAATAAAAAGGTCAAATGGTTCTCAATGTTTGCTTTAATAACAAACCAAAGCAACGGTACCAAATGACAGTACTATCCCTATCAAAGGAGATCAATAAAGCTATTAATTAGGGGTGGATTGCGTCAAAAAAAAAAAAAAAAAATGGACACAATGCTAATTTGCCCAAAGGTGGGCAAGATGGGTTAGCAAATTCTTTCTATATTAATATAATGTATATGTATATTTATATTTTAATTTTGTATAAAATATTTTATAGATTTTTATAATCAATATATTATATATTTTAACATAATATATTGGTTATCGATAATTTCTACATAGAATGAAAGTTAATTCCACATACCAAATGAATGATTTTTCATGAACTAAGCTGTAATGGCTTGGACCCATAAAAACAAAAAGATTCTGCTAATTTCTTATGGATTTGAATTGTATCGTGATTTGATCAAGATTTAGAAGGGTTTCTAATTACTCTAGGGAAGAAATAAGAGTTCAGATTTTGGGATAATGGTGGTTGGTTACATTGGCACGTGGGCAGCTTAAGGCTTGGGTGAGAGATTTCACTCTTTATTTTGGTTGACCATGTGTAGGCCACATGATATCATTTATATGGGTTAAATTTTCTTTGTGTGTGGAAATTATTTGTTCATGTCATACCCAATTAATTGAGCAATCGGATGACAATTAACTATTTACTCTAATTGAGCCTATTTACAAACATAGAGTGATTTGAACAAATTATTAACACAAGGAATTTTTAAATAATCAAGAAAAATACAAGTGCAAAATGTGTTGAGCAAATCAGTTTCTTACAAGTGTGTTCATTGGGTGGTTTTATATCTATCACATGCATTCTATTGTTATGCTGTGGTTATTATAATGGACAGAATATGTGCTGCTTACACACACACACACGCGCGCGCGTGCGCGGAGACATACACAGAGACTGGTTGGTCAAGCATATCTCTAATTGAATCTTAACTGTCTGCAGCCAGTTCATAAGTGGATGGTTCGCCATATCTATTTTCCGTGCCTACGGAATAAAATACCGAAGGTAACTTCCTTTTTATTAGTCAATTCATTAGAAAGTAATTGATCATTTCTTTTTACTGTATTTTTATCTCGCATATGTTATCATAGATTTTCATGTTCTATGATGGAAGCTTTATAATGTGACCTATGGATTACAGGACATGTTACAATTTGGTTTATCTTGCAAATTATTTTCTTCTTTTTTAATCCAATCTTCTTTCCAACATTCTTTATATTTTCTGCTAATTACATAAAGAGATGAGAATTACGGATACATAAACCACTCCCAATTATGACAATTGTTGACAGCAACTTTTGGAAGAAAGATGATGCATGGAATATGAAGGGTTATCTTACTTTTATGCTAATCCCGGGCTTGAGTTTCAATGTACTTCGGATCTTTAGAGTCTAATTAAATTAGTATAAATTTTTTTTTCCTTGAAATGGTTAGAAAGTTGTTGGTTTATAGAAGGTTTTTTAATGGGTTTTCAAGGATTTAGTGCTGCAAGATAACTGCTAAAAGGAAGGATAACATGTGCTGGGATTTAGGGGTTTGGCGCTATTGTAAAGAAGGCAAAGAAAAAAGATGTTTGTTTTGCAGACAATACCAACTTGTGTATGAGTAACAACCTTTTTCTGCTTTGAAAGCATTCCAGCTATAAAATTAGAAAATGATGTCTTTTTCTAAAGATTAAAAGAGACAAGAATTTTGGTTTGTGGTTGAACCTCTTAATCTTTATCACATTTGCTCTATTCTTTAGTGTATCCAAAAAAATCTCACATGCACTTGGATGAAAATTAATAGTCCAACTTAAGAAAATATCATATAAAAATTAGACATCTAAACATGGTTATATCAACGGGTTTGGGTGTTAGGTACCCAAGCTCTCATCTAATACCTGTTTCATACTCGTTAGGGTATGAACCCCATACCCCAAACCTGTCCCATACGCTACAAGTATGATAATCAGCTATGGACAGAGTAGGGTACGCAACCGATAGGGAAAATTGCTTGTCCTTATCTATGTCATTGTGCTTTAAGATATTCTTATACTTCAGATCAAGTGCTTTCAGGTTTCAGGTTTCTTGAATTCTATACTTACCTGCTTCAAGAGCATAACTTTTTGCTTGAACTCCATATGTGATAGGAGACATTTGTGCTCTGATTCCATATCTTCCCTCCCACCAACCCCCCTTCTCTCTAGGACCTATAACTTAACTCAATTTGTCTAGAGGAGGTACCATCTTATGTAAATGTATCCAGGATTACATATGAACCTTTGGTTTCATATATTTTTAGTTTTGCAACTTTGACAATATTCATCAGTGAAGTGGAAACATCTGTGTGGTTACACATGAGCCATTGGAGTTTGCAATCCTTGCTTTCCTTTTCAAAGGCCTTAAACATTATAGTGATGCGAACTTTCGTTTCTTTGTCATGGTCTTAAAATTATGGTGAACAATATCTTATGAGTTACTTTTGCCTTGTTTCAGTGCATGTTGCATGTTTATATTTGGATAACAGTGTGTGTCACTCTTCTGTCTCATAATTGAATGGGCTGCTTGTTATTAATCAAGCATGTCCTTGCCATTTTATATTTTGTTAGACAAAATCTCACAGTGATATTCTTGGCAATTACTCATAATCATTCTTTTTTTTTTTTTTTTTCCCATATCATTGCAGGGGGCAGCCTTCCTTATTGCCTTCTTAGTTTCAGCTGTATTTCACGAGGTATTATTGGGTTGATTTTTTTGGTTTTTTTTTTGGCTTGTCTAATTTATCTCATAGTTGGCCTGTTATGTTCGTATAGAGAAGTGAATTTTCATATATTTATTTTTTTGTTATAGAAGTATCATTTCTTGGAAGCATCAACAAGGATACGAATATGATATGGATATTGATGCATCAATTTTTGAAATTTTAGGACATGATAAGTTATGGATACTTGTATTAAAAATATGTATTTTTATCTTAATGTACTTTCTCGTATTTATTCTAAGAATAATTAGTCAAAATAAATATGTCAAAATAAACACAACTATTTAAAAAATGGGAAACAATAAATTAGTATAAACCAATAATAACATCGTTAAGAACGCATTCGTCATTGTCTATGACTATTAATCAATTATTATCCATTAAAAAATCATTTATTATCTATATAAATTATACTTCCTCTGTCCCAAAGGAATTGTCATGTTTGACTTTTAACACTGATTAAAAAAGCTATTAATTTATATGCTATATTACCATTCTTTATTCACATTTTTTCCAAAATACCCCCATCTAATTGTAGGTCTCTTACAAAATGAGTTTCAATTAGGGATATTGTCAGGAAAATACATGACTCAATGCCAGACAATCATTGTGGGACAAACAAAAATAGAAAGTAGACATTCTCTTTGGGATGGAGTGAGTATTATATTAGTTTGGTATTATAAAATGAAAATATGCAAAAGTTAATTAGAAATTATTAATTTTTGCAATGGAAACTGTACGAATGATGTATCTGTGAGGTTTTGGATATGTCTATGAAAGCATTCTTAAAGTAGCCCTAAGCATCTGATTATCATTCATTAATTTTGGATTTGGCAAGCATCTGAATGTAGTATCAGATGTGTGCCCTGATTGGATTTCACGAGGGATTTTGAATTATATGTACTTCATTTTCATCGACTCTTACACATGATGCGAAATCAAGGATTGTGCTTAGGGATTCATCACTCCTTTTATTATTATTTTTTTTAAGCCCTGATGGCTGGAGTGGTTTTATGTTTAACTTAGTGGGGATTAACTTCAACTATTAAAAGATCGGCTTTGAATGAGATGAACTTGACACAAAGGACAAATTGCACAATGATTGTGACGATGTCATGAAAAGCTATCCATCTTTGTCAGGGAATATAGTGTTAGGGACTTTGCTTTATGCCATCTCAATGCTACAAACAATGGTAGCAACCAATTCTGGATGTCAAACACTTCAAGTTATCTGCTTAGCTTGACACGGTGATAACATGGATAGGTAGGTTCAGAAAGGGTAGAGATCTAGAAATTACAGAATTGCTGGTAGGGTTGATGCTTCTGTGATAGTCAAGCATTGAAATCAAGATTATAGGAAATGAAAGGAGAAGATCAACAGAAAATGTGAAAAACTTGTCACTTTGAAATAGACTATTGAGGCTGTATTCCCTTTTTTGTGCTGTAAAATGGTAAGTGTGCTGGTGATAAGATGGATTACTATTGGAATTGGTGATAATGTGGTGGGTTCAACTGTTACCTGCCTTGTATACATCTCATAGAAAATATGGCTCTAGTCAAGGTGTGAATATTCATGTAGTAGATGCAACTAGATTGGATGAGAACTTAGTTGAGGAGGCTGATTAACTGTCTCTTTAAGTCATTTGGCAGCGAATGTTTTTTCAAATGCAGCGATTTCAATTTAGTTATAGACCATACTTCAGCTTTTATAGTCATTGCTTGCACCAGAATCTTGAATTGATGCACCTTTGGCTGTATTTAATAATTTCAATCAATCTTGTACTTATGGTGGCATTTGATGTTAATCATCCTGCAGTTGTGCATTGCTGTTCCCTGCCACATGTTCAAGCTCTGGGCATTTATTGGGATTATGTTCCAGGTAATGTGATTCTGACTACAGACTGCCGGAAGTTCGTTTTAACTGACTGTTTTAAAATCAGCTCTATGGTCGCTCCCCACCCCCTAAAGAAGAAGAAGTAATCATCTTAAGTGTGCTGGATTAGCTAATGAATAGATGGCTTCCTTTTGTCGTTTGGATCAGGTTCCCTTAGTGGTGATCACAAAATTCCTTCAAAATAAGTTCAGAAGCTCAATGGTATGTCTGTTTTTTCATCTTTTATTTATCAAGCCTATTTTAGCAAAATGATCTCTGCAGCACCCAAATGGAGAGGGAAATAGGTTAAAATCTGGAACATCTGATGTAGCAGAATTCCAACATAAAGTTTATTTGAGGTTCTCACGAACATCATATTTCCATGGGCTGACTTGGTAGATGGCCATGAAATACAAAATCGAACTCCGATAATTACTTGACCATTTGTCTACACTATAGTCCATGACAAAATGTTACTCTATTCATGACAGGTGGGAAATATGATGTTCTGGTTATTTTTCAGCATTCTTGGTCAACCTATGTGTGTGCTTCTCTATTACCATGACTTGATGAATCGGAAAGGGAAAACCGAATCAAGATGACCCAAGTATGTTGTTTGGTAGAGATCTTCGATATGAGCGAAAAAATTGATTATGGAAGTATAGTAGGCGTTAGGTGTGCTTTTTCCTTGTGTATTCTGCAGGAGGAGAAATTGGTTCTATTTGTGTTGAGCCGTGTTACATCCTGATGTTCTAATCATGAATGACTTTATATTATCTCAGTTGATGTACAAGCAATTTTCGAAGTAAAGGCACTGGCAATTGAATTGCCAATGACAGTGGATTTGTTATGTTGGTTAATAATTTCCAGAAAATTGTAAAAATGAGTGTTGTTCTGTCGTTTGCTTTTCAAATTCAAGTTGCCAGGTGATTCATATCCTCTGTTGTACCTGCATGGCACAGAATCAGGCATTACAGGTTCGCCACAACTGAAGAGACAGTTTTTTGTTTGTTGCTCGATGTCTAGCACATCGGGTGGGAACGAGGTCGTTTTCTCTTTCGTGTTTTTTTTTTTTTTTCCGACTTGTTTCATTCAAAATTGGCAGGGAACTGACATTGTTCCTGCCACCTTCGTTTGAAATGTTTCATTTGGCTGTTATAGCATATCCTTGAAGGAAAGTTTCCGTCAACTTGAAATATTTATGTAATATGAATTTTCTAATGAACTAGCTTAGCTAACTAAATATGACTTGGTCTTTGGTCTACCAATGAATTTCTGTGAATCCTCTCCAAGTTGAGTCCTTGACCACGCAGTGAGATCGCAAGGAAAAAGAATAAATAAAGCCGGGTTCTTTTCACACAGCCATGCACGTCGTTATGCATTTTTATCTACCATTGTCAACTTCTTCACTTTTTTTCTCTGGGATGACAAAGTTGACGCAAGGGGTACCATGAATTAATTAACTCAGCACTCAATATAGGAAAGTCCAAGTATACTCAAAGAAAGAATTCATTGAAGACTAAGTATTGCGATTTTTTTTTTTTTTTTTTTTTTTGAGTATATCACTAGATCAAATGCTATCATTAGTAAGTTATTTATATTTTATAGTTATATACAATTGCCCCCCCCAAGTTTTTTATATTTTTCATCTCATATCAATCCTTAAAAGAATTAATTTATGATATTATTGAATTTAATTTTAATTTGTTGTACTGGTTAGGTGGTTCGACCAGATCTGTGAAAACTTAGGCCGATTTCAAAATTATTATTGTTACTAATATTATTATGATCAGGTTCTTTTTATTTGCAATACTCGTTGATTTTTTTTTGAGAAAAACAGCGGATTAAGTGTCAAGTTCAGTGGTTCTTACCTCTTCAGTCGAGTCGAGTCGGAATGTTATAAGTTGCTAATAATAAGATTAACAAGGAATTAAGAGAAGGTAGAATAATGTAATGATGAGATTAGTAAATAGATGATTGATTGATCACGTGACGTAAAGGAAAGCAGGAGGCGACTTTTGGGGCGGGGCTCGAATAATTACAGTGGTGGCTTCCGCACCAAAGCCGACAAGAAATTATTTAGCACAGTACGGTCCACCGACGCCACGCCAGCCATGACCCATGCTCTATTTATAAAAGTCATGATCAGCAATGCGCTCTGCAGTTTCACAAAATCAAAATAAAAAAGAGTTAGGAACTGCAAACAAAAAACTTGAAAACAACAAAGTTATTATAGAGAGGTCAGAGCTTTCTCTCTTCTCTTAAACAAGAGCCAATCAAACAAAATCAAATTCTTGTCTTGTCTTGTATTCAATGGAAAAATACAGATCCAAATCGTACGCAGATGGACGGTACCAAATACAAAGCTACAACGGTACTGGTAATGGAGGAGGAGCACCTACTTCATATGCTATCACTAGCATGCAGGATCTCAGGTGTTACAGTGCTTCCTATGCAACCTCTGTCTACCAAACACAAGCCCAGATGGGAACTAGTGATATCAAATTCAAGAAAGGAAAGTCAACTAACGGCTCAACTTCTAAAAGATGGAGCTTCAATGATCCTGAGTTACAAAGGAAAAGGAGAGTGGCTAGCTATAAGGTTTATGCTGTTGAAGGAAAAGTTAAAGGGTCTTTGAAGAAGAGTTTTAGGTGGATTAAAGAAAGGTGTAGTAGAGTTGTTAAGGGCAACTGGTAGTAGCTACTGATGATTAATTGGGTGATATCATATATCATCATATTTATATCATACACGGGGCGTCAATAATCATTTTTTTTTTTCCTTTTGGGTTGGTTTAATTTAATTCTTAAGTTCTGCAACTGTATTGCTGTTCTCAGTATATGATTGTTTTATAGTTTCAAATTCCTTCAATTGATTATTTTTCTTTTGGGTTGGTTTAATTTAAGGATGCTTGACATCATTCTCTCTTTTTTGTTGATCTTGTATACACCTTTTTTTTTTTTTTGGTCTTGAATTCCTCTACACCTTACTTCTTCTGCAACTATGCTTAATGGTTGCTGTTGGGTTCCAGAAGAAGCATGATTATGGGATGCCTGATTAGTAACAACTGTTGCAGAGGTCGATCAGTACAGTTGAAACTGGTGAAAAGACAGTGACCATTCATTTGAGCCTCCTTTTAGTTCTCGAAACAAGGTCTTAAAAGTTTTTTTTCTGTGATGATGTCTCTATGGTTAGCTGAATCGATCATGAAGAAGACTGAGTGTTGAGGTCATACTAATGGCCCATGCATGCTATATATGAGTTTTTTAATGTAGCCAAATCCTCGATGGTTGATAGCTGGACGTTCTACTTCGGTAATGAGGTATCTATCTGCCTTTTTACATTTCTTTATTTCAGACACAAATGCTTCGTTTCCTTGGCAACATGTCATGGATTGGGGCTGGAATTCCATGCTTACATTGTATCTCTGAAATTCCACATGATGACTAGTTAGCTCCTACTTCCAACGAGTTATGGTTAGTAGCACTTACTTCAAACCTGTCATGCTACTGTGGGTTTATTTAGTCGTCGCATCAAATAAGATATTGTAGGACAAATCCAACTCCTAGCATTTTTAAAAATGGAATTTCGTTATTATCTTTTTTGGTTGTTACCAAAAGGGCACCAACAATGAACCAAAATCCCACTGATATCATGAGATGTCTCATTCCTCTTCCAATAAATATGTTTAGACAAATTAAATAATTGAGTGAAGAAATTAAAACAGGCGACGTTCCCATTTTTAATTTTGGTCAGACTTTCAGCGTTCTTGTTAAAGAAAGTTCAGTTCGACTTTTAGGACACAGATTTGGAAGTCTTTATCCAACGACCAACGACCTATTCTTCCTCCCTCGAGTTCCAAGAGTTGAGAACGAGGAAAAATCCAACGATCAATCAAAATTTATTATTTGAGTATTAAACATAGAATGATGCTGAAAATCTTCAAAATCGTTGTCTAAATGTCAGCTACACTTGGCAAACATTTGAACCTCAAGCCTGATCTAAAAGTAGTTTTTAACATTAGGAGAACTGAATGAGAATACAGTGGCCATTTTTCACTGCCATCAAGTTTTAAATCTGGGTCAAAGCAACATAAAAATAATCCAGTGTATAGATGAACAAGAGAGCAGGAACAATGAGCCCAGCTATGGGAGAGATTTGAAAAAAAAAAAAAAAAAAATTAAAGTAGATTGAATACACCCATCTGTTCTGGAACAAGCAAGCTTTTTTATGCAATTGAATTCTGCTTCCCAGGATCGTCTAGCCGACGCCTTTAGTGCACAAATTGAAATCCAGAGTTATCCAGTCTCGAAGCCACTTCTTTCAAACTCTTCGCTCCATGAGAATAAACTATCCTACTACTTTTGAGTGTAACAGCACACCAGTACATTCATGATTTACAACAATGCACAGTGCTGAGCTCCTAATAATGAACCTTCTCATCACTCTCAAAATTCAGACTCTCAATTCCTTTAAGGGTGGTTTCATATGTCTTCATGTGAGAAGTATTTCTACTTGATGAAGTGCGTCTGGGGTCTGAAGATCCAAGAGGAGGACTTCTTAGCCCACTAGAAATTTTATGTATTGCTCCTGGGCTTGCCTCAGTTGTGCGAGACCGTTGGGGATCGGACTCACTTCCAACAAATACATCGCGGCTGCTGGAAACAGCTGCAGCTCGCCTTGAGGATCCACTTGATCGCCCCAAAAAAGTGGAGTTCGGTAACTGCAGTGGCCAATCATAATGCAGTTTAGATCTGAAACAGAAATGTAGGGGAAAAAATGATTGCAGACTACAGGTCTGTATGCAAAATCTGACTTCATGATATAAAAGATTAGCCAGCATCTATAGCATAGAAAGCAAGAACAAAGAAAATCAATCAGTAGCATCAATCTACAAAATTTTTTAAGCAAACATAAAGGAGGAATTTCACAAATGCAAGTCAACAGTACACATTGCATACATGTATAGGGGGAAAAAAGGAGAGAATTAAAGCAACTGCTAGAACAGAAAGATTATGCATAGCCCCAAACACTCAGGTTAGGTTAGCCAGCAATGATGAATACACAATGCACTTGGAGGCTGTGGCCTGATGATACTATGCTAGAAGAAGTAGACTTTCATGAGCCCAGAAATTGGCCAAGATTCTAAGGGGCAACGTTGATGGGATTTAACAAATGCAAGTTAGCAGAACAAATTGCAAACATATATAGGAAAAATAAAACACTTGATGTTCAACATGCATCAGGTCGTAACTAATGCTTGACCATGCATTATAAGACAATCAGGAAGCTTTGCATAATTTGGTAGTGGAAAAAGAAGAAAAAATCCAAGCAACATACCATAGCATCCTTAGTAATTGGAGAATCATTAGCAGCTGGACTTTTCTGCTTTGAATAGCTTCCAGCATTTAAGATCGGTCCTGATAGTCTCCGGCGAGTGGAGTCCATTGATTGGCCAGCTGCTCGCCCTTCTTCACCACCTGCAGTGAAGAGAGAAAAAAGTGTAAACCCAAGCATATGTTAAAAGGATAATCATTCACCATCTATTTAAAGCTTATTCTTCATCAATTACTGCTTTTTGGTATTCACCCAAGTTGTGAACAGGTAGGAAGTATTTAGCTAGGTTCTGGATCCATAATAATACAATGTCAGAGAGAGAGAGAGAGAGAGAGAGAGTACAAGCAAATGATAAGACCAAAATCAAATTGGATAATGACTAAATAAAAGTAATGAGAACTCTTGCAAGAAGACCATCCACTATAAAAAAAGACACTTTATGAAATGAAGAAACCATCATGCGAAGTAATGCTCAGAACCAATTTAAAAACAAAACATAAACCACCTGTTTGTCTGTCTGCACTGACAATAGGAGGAGGCATTCCAGAACTGGTTCCAACACCAGGGCCCTAACAGAAACAAGAACAAATTCAAATGTATTCCACACCAACACAAGTAAAATGTTCCACAAACACTTACAATGCCGCGAGTTGGAGGATTAGCCAGCTGTGATTGCTGATACTTCAATATTGTCCAGTCAAAGACATAATCAAACTGGAAGCCTGTAAAAAAGATCAACAGCTACAATAAGGAGTTCAAATGCCACTTCTATTGTTCTGCCAAAGCCCATAGAAGTCAAATACAGATACTAGTATAGACACAGTAGACTTGAAGGCATTTTAGATACTAAATATCCTTACCCTCACGAATAAAGAGGTCGCGAAATATTCTCTTCAAATAAGCATAATCTGGCTTATCATCAAATCGAAGTGAACGACAGTAATGAAAGTAAGAGGCAAATTCAGTTGGATAACCCCGACATAGAGCCTGAAATAGCATCATATCGCTGGTTAGATTATTAGACTTAGCAACAGAATTTGCAGGCAACCTTGGTAATTAGGGCCACCTTACCTCGATCGAAGTAGAAACCTTCTTTTCACTAATTTTCTCATACTTCTGTTTCTTTGTTCCAGCTTTTAGTCCCTGCCAAGGAAGGCTACACGGACAAACTCAGCTGTGATCAAATTAGCAAAAGACAATACACAGCAAGGTGGGGTTGGCAGGAAGAGAGAATCACCTTCCTCTCAGGAAGTACATAAGGACATAACCAAGAGATTCTAGATCATCCCTCCGGCTTTGCTCTATGCAGTCCAACAAGTTAAAAATTGAACAATCAGTGTTATGAAACAAAGAAAGAGCACTAAACAAAAGGCCAACAGATTAGCAAGTGAAAAAAAAAGACACAAAGCACATACCAATTCCCAGGTGAGTGTTCATGCTCGCATATCTAGCAGTTCCCGTCAAATTTTTATTTTCCCTGTAGTGTATCAATGCCAGTAATAACTTAATTACCATATATTATCAAAATACCAACAGCGAAACAAAGATAGTCTACATGAGACAGCTGAATGAAAAACTTCTCCAATCACATCAGAAGTAAAAAATAGACATGGCACCAAGATTCTGCATCCCAAAACCCAATTATCAATGCAATAAGTACAAAAGGAAAAAGGAAAAAGAAAAAAAAAAAGCAACAGCAGCTTCACATTACAACCATAGAGAATATTGACAGATGATACAAACTTCCATACGAAGTCTTGTTTAATAAATCCCAAACAGAGCCAAAGATCACCAAAATGTATTTGGCAAAACACCAGCACGCACATAGTTGTGTGTGCACATGCACACAAATACAATCTTCTCACCTGTAAGGAATGTGTTGATGGGTTGAACTATCTCTGTATTTCTTCGCCAGACCAAAGTCAATGATGTATACCTATGTGGAAGGTGAACAACAAATTTTCGTATGGATTTCCTTGAAAAAGAGAGAGAGAGAGAAGGACGAATATATATATATATATATATATATATATATATATATATATAAGAAAACATATACTTCATATCAAGACCTGATTTGCACGCCTTCCCAAGCCCATGAGAAAGTTGTCTGGCTTGATATCTCGATGCAGAAATGATTTCGAGTGGACAAACTCGACGCGATTAATCTTTAAAGAAGAAAGGACACAACATAAATAGATAATATTACTGGAAAATTAGTACTAACACTGAAAATCGGAAACTTGATGCAACTCACCATCTGATCAGCAAGCATAAGAACCGACTTCAAAGAGAGTTTCCTACTGCAGAAGTTAAAGAGATCTTCAAGACTAGGTCCAAGCAAATCCATCACTAGAACATTATAGTCTCCCTCAACTCCAAACCACCTCACATTTGGAATCCCAGCTGCCAAGATAGAAATTGATCAGAAAGAAGACAAAGAAAACATCGATAAACAACAATACTCTCGTACAAGAATAAATTTTTGAAAAGAAAAAGATTAAGAAAAAGATGTCAAGAAACATCATTACTTCCTCCCTGAAGGATTCTGTACAACTTCGATTCGTAAAGCAACTGAGGATGTTTTGTCTTGACATTTTCCTAAACATTAAAAAACAATGAAGGATCATGCACAGCTGAGAATAAAATCATTTCAGCTCAAACCTAGAAAGAATATTAAAAAAAAAAAAAATCAGCAGAAAACCCAAAAGTAGACATGTCATTAAAAAGCATCAAAATGATTAATTGATTGAAAAGAACGACATCAATCAATGAATGAATAACATCAAACGAAATAACTGATGAGATTATAAACTTTTATTATACTTGAAAAGTTGCCACCCCAAGACATCAGTGATAAGAAGAAATGGAAATTTTTAGTTCACAGGGCGGAATACATGAAAACATAAAGGAAAACACTGCTGCATATGCTAATTTCTAAATTTAAATTTTAAAATTGTTGATTGCTCGAGTCCAAATATAGTTATTAATAATTAGATGGGTCGTTTATAGCTTAAAAAAAATTACTAGCAGCACTAATTCACACTACAACTACAACAACCATCTATCTACAGAAAAATTATTAACTGAACTGAATAAGAGTACAAAAATATTAAGAAGAATTCAACAAAATCGAAAGGGAAATTAAATTAGTTAAAAGGAAACTCACAAGCTTAATGGCTACTTCTTCATTTGTCTGGATATTAGTACCTGATTAACTCAATCCAATTCAATTCAAAAAGCAAATGAGAAAAGAAGAATTTTATAATAGTAATTTAAAATAAATGAATTAAAAAAAAAAAACCTAGATAGATCTCTCCAAAGGACCCGCTGCCGATCTTTCGACCCAGCCTGAACTTATTACCAACACGCGGTTCCATCTAAAGAAACCGAAACCCTTACTGAAAAATCACGAAAAAGACGACAGTAGAATCACACCGACTAATCGACAAAAGAATGGCGGAATTGGGGATCTAGAAAATAGAAATTTCCTAATCGAACAACAAACAAACAAGAAAATATTTGGAAAAAGAAAAAGAAATAGACAGAAAGATAGATAGCGTCTGTCACTCTATCATCTTTTCTTTCTGTGTTTTCTTGTGTTGTGTTGCTTTGAATTGAATTTGATGATCCAAAACCCAACTAGGTGTCGGTTTTTTGTGCTGTGCTGTGTGGGGTGGGGTGGACCGGGTGGTCTCTTCATTTTCATTTTTTTTTTTTTTTTTTTTTTGAACTTTTTGAGTATATTATAAATTAGTGCTTCTATTTTTTATAAATGAATTAATTATTTTTTTCAAAAAAATTATTTATTTATTGTTAAATATGTTTAATTAAATATTAAGCTGTTTCAAAAAATATTTTTTTTAATCAATCTTTGCATACTTTTTACTTAATTTTTTTTATTTCTTAAAACAAAAAATCAAAATAAAATTAAAAATAAGTGAAAATATTAAATTATAAGAAAATTTAAAAATATGAAGATTAAATAATTATTTTTCTAAAACAAAAGAACCAATTAATTCATTTCTTGAACTAAAAAAACTAATTTATAATTTATTTTTTTATTTTTAAATTATGATTTATTTTATTTAACTTGAAACCTGAAACTAATGACTTACGATTCTCTTATATATATATTTTTAACTACTCTAATTTTCTGACTAATCATAAGGAAATTCAAAGAAACATAGTTGATTTTATTTTGATTGCATAAAGTCTTTGGCTTTAATAAGGTTAGAAGCCCTTATGAAATTGATTTTTGAAAATTATTATAGAAGACCTGGTTCATCACCTAAAATGAAAAACCAAACCAACAGAATTTTTACACGTCACTAAATTTGTTCATATTATGTATTAGTAAATCACAATTGAAATATAAATCTTTTAACATTTAATAACACATTCGTAATTATGGAATGAAATAATTAATAATAAATCTATCTCAAAATAACGTGGATGTGGCGTCATGAGCACATAGTTAAGAGGCGGTTGAGCAACTAAAGCAAACCACCCTACCTTACTACAACAAAGGGACGTGAGGGAGAATTTTGTAATTCAACAACATGATTTGCCCCGAATGTCTAACATTTGATTCACCGACATACGATTATCCTATAGTTTCCGTTTATTCAAAATAGTTAGGACAACCAATTCATATTTTGAATACCCATGTAACTATTAAAGATTTTTGAAATGACTAATTCTTAGAAATAAAGGGATTTGAAGGACAAAGAACTTGTTGGAGTTAACGTAACATTTTTATAGTTTTTATCCAGAACCAACACCCTTTATTATTATGTACAAAATAGTCTTTTCCTTAATTTATTAATTCAAGAGACGATGCTGGCTTTTTATATTTGAAAAAGGCTTTAGGTTGTGTGGGGAAAAAAAAAAAAAAGGACTATACTTAATCTACACGAAACCCTCTGATATTATCCATAAATGGCTTGTTTATGGTAAAAAAAAAAAAAAAAAAGGACATTGCTGTATGTAAATTCCAATGTACAGTATCCATCAAGACTCCAATGCATTTCTTCTTGTGAATCAAAATAAATATGTTTTTCAACCATCTCTATCATATTCAAAGTGTATGTTCCCAAGCAAATTTCAACAATCACTAGACAAATTTGGTTATGTGTAAAAATTCTATTGGTTTGGTCTATAATCTTTGGTGGTAAGCTAGGTTTGTATAATAATTTCTCCATTTCTGTAAATAAAAAAAAACTAATTAATCTTTTTTTAAAAAAATTAATCATGTAGTCTTCCACATTTTAATTTTGTAAATAATTTAGTATTTTCATTAGTTTTTCTATTAGAATAGAGATTTTTATTTCTAAAATTGCCCTTTTTTTGGTTTTGAGTTGATGAAAGAGAAAAAGAATGGGTGAATGAGAGAAATAAGACATCAAATAAAAGATAATTTGGGAAGAAATCACTAATCTAATAAAAATTTGATTAAATTATTGATGAAATTAAAGCGTAGGGAATAAAATGATTAATTTTTGAAACGAAAGAGACTAATTAATTCGTTTTTCAAAAACGAGATGAACTAATTTATAATTTACTCTATTTGGTTTTAATAGATTGTTTTTAAAACTTGAAAATTCAGATATTTTATTTAAAAAAAAAAGAGTTAAAGCTTTAATTAAGCTAAACAAGAAAGTCATTATTTAATAAAATTAGAAAGTAAACTCTTAAACTAAGTAGGTAATTCGAACCCAAATACTCGTTTTGGGACCACAATATTATTTTTGTTAAAAATCAATTTTAAAAAGACTTCTAAGTGTCATTAGCATAAAATACTCTTCTTTCAGTTTATTCGCATCCGCTCATAAGTATAAAATTTCGAACCATTATTTATATTGCATATGAACCAGATTTGAGAACTAAAGTTAGATAATTGTAAGGTTGTGTTTAGTTTTGAATTGTCGTTATGGAGGTTAATTGTTAACCTAGTAAGAGACGAGTTAAAAAATTGTGAAGGAGCGAAATTTGTAAATATATATTTTTTTATTTCAATCCAATATTTATTTGTCCATTTCTTTTATTCACACTGTACAATTGAGTCCCACCATTACATATTGTTATTTATTTATTATATTTAATTTAATTTGAATAAAAAATTATTAAGCCCCACCAATAAATAATTTCTACAAACCTACCAAAACATATTAGACTAAAAATTAGGTCTAGAAGATTGTTAACGAGTCGATTCGGATCGGATCATGGTAGATCCAATCAAATTTATTCAATAAACAAATCAAATCAAATATTATAAATCTGAATTTAGAGTTAACAATTGTCAATCTAGATCGGAATCCTAATGAATTCGGATATTTATCGAATTTATCATTCATTTTTTAAAAAAAAAAAGGTGTTGACTACATTCAAAGTCATGCTTCCATATAAAACAAGTTTCAACTATTGCACGTATAAAAAAAATATTTAATATGTCAATTTCAAAAAAATTCAAATGTCTCACCATTAAAAAGAACAAAACCAAATAATCTCAATAAAAATTTATATCAAAAGTCAAAATTAATTTAAATTAAAAAAAGAAGTATAAAAAAGTGAACAAAAAATAATTAAAAGGACTAGTTTAGGCACAACTTGATTGGTAAAAAAAGAAAATCTTAATGTTTTACAAATAATAAGATTGAAATAAAAAAAAAATTAGAATGCTTGATTTTATAAATTTGAAATGAAGTATTAGTAACAACTCGATTATATATATATATTTTTTTTCTTATGTTCAAAAATCTTAAAAACTAATGAAAGAAAACTTATCATGTAATTGCTTGAAAGAATAGTCATCAATGTAAAGAAAAAATAGAAAAAGTATAGAACGTACTTAGCATCTAGAGTAAAAAACCTTAAATCTAAACCTAGTTCATATTTTTCATATTTTTTAAATTTTAAATTTTTATTTTTTAAAATATTATTTTTTAAAAAATAATATTTATATTAATTTTAAATTAGATTATTATCGAATCGAATCGAAGTAGATTTATGTTTGATCTATTTAATAAATAGGTTAACAAATTTAGATCATAATTAAACTCGGATCATAAGAATTATATATCAAATCCATTTAATGACATCGGAGTCAAATTAAAATCGATTCGTTGACAACCCTAAGGATGAATAGACCTTGATGAGAACACAAATCATAAGTATTGTATACCAAAATCATTTAATTACATCGGAGTCAAATTAAAATTTGATCCATTGTCAACTCTAGGGATAAATAAAGCTTGATGAGAACTTATAAAGAAATAAAACTTAAGACAAAACTTTACAATGAGATATATGTAAAAATGATAAATTTACAAGATATAAGCACAAGACATTAAAGTAAAGCATAAGGATGTGAGATCAAATACAATGATATATTCTAATTTGACCCCATTTATATCCAATCACCAAGGTCAACTTAGGATTTCTCAATCCACCAACAATCTTTTTATAGGCAAAGATAAAGTTGTCATTATCCTATTTTTTCCTTTAAAACAAAAATTAAATCACAAACAAAGCAAAAATAAAATAAAATAATCAAAAGCTTGGACCAAGTATAAGCATGTTGGGCCTCACAACCAAGCCCTTATATGGCCAACTAAACAAATTAGCTATTTTAATTCGATCATAACTGGACTTTCTATTGGCTACTCTAAATCGAAATACTCACGAAGCTTGTAATTATTCATCGACTAATGTTTCAAATTGAAATGAACTCAAAGATTCCAACTTTAGCTCCTTATAGAAAGGAGCATCCATCTCTAATAATCTAACCCATCCTATGCTTATCCAACATTCCCCTAACATCTTCCAATGATCCAAGTAACCTCGAAAACATGATTATCAATGTATCTATTAGGCATTATTTTCTTATTTTTCAATATATTGTACTAAAATTCACGATCATCGTTTGTAAACTCAATAGTTAGGTAAATATGGTTATTACCAAATCGGGGTGGATATCCTACTGATTAAGCCATCATCTTTTGATGAATCCTCTTCTTTGGGATGGCTATTTGTTTACCTTTATCTCTAGAAGTCGACATTGTTGCTTTTTGGTTGAGGCAAACGAGTAAGGAAGACAATGGTTTTTTAGTGTGTTAGTAATAGGAAGGTTGTTTCGTTTTAAAAGAAGTGGATTGGAGTGGTGGTCGCTTATGGTTATGGAGGAAATTCAGATTTAAGGAAGATGAAAAGAGAAAAAGTCTAATATGACTACAAATAGGACGTTGGATAAGATGAAGTCACATTGGATTAGGGTTAGGTATTTATATGGCTAGGTTTTGTGAGGGAAGTCATGTGGATTTTGGCTAGATAAGGACTCACACGTGCGGGTGTGATTGGTGAACAAACCTTGCCTCTTTCA